TCAATCAGGAATTTAGAGTGACATGAAAGAGCAAGAATGGCAAATAATGATTACAAAAGTACACACCAAATATAAAAAATAAATTACAATATGCTAATTTAATATTAGTTGGTATTAATCGCTGTCTTCAACTTCAGTCAAATGTTTACTACTACTAAATGTCCCTCTAAATATCCTAACGACATAGAAATAAGCATATATAGGCCGCCACTGAAGCAAAACACTTGTTGCATATAAAATGAATTACAAAATTTAGAGAAATGAAAAAACAACAAAAAATTCTCCACAATATATTTTCCAGTAGTGCATCCTTGCCATGTGACATGAATATTTAGATATATTTATTTATTGATTAGAAAAGATACACTAATTATCTACAACGTCAGTTATTTTCATCAATTCAATTCTGGTAGTTTATAAGCATGTCTATTCCTGACCTTGCAATATACTGGTACTGACAGTGACGTGTTCATGCATCTGATCCGTCAGTGTCCTTCCACAATAGTACAAGTACATGTACAATGGCTAGCAGAGGGCTTAATACAATGATGAGTTCTCTTTTCACATATTTCGCTGATAGCTTTATGCACTAAATAAAAACTTGGTGAGTATTCAAGTTTGACAATAATATCATATACTAGATCATCAATTTGACTATAGATATACCTCTGTAAATTCTGTAGATGCGCTACTAATAGAGTAAATATGGGATCCTTGACCACCCAGTGCATTTCAAATCTAGTGTGAAACCTTCTATAATTAGATTTGCTAGAATTAAACGCAGTCAATATTATAACTACAAAAACAAAATGTTCGACTTAATGAGGTCAATTATATTTTTGTGCTTTTTGATTACTGAAAACAAATAGATCATCAACTAAACTTGCTGTGAATTGTTTAATTTTCGTAGCTATTAAAGTTCACACTTTGATGATTTTATAACATTCGTGAAGAAAAAATTTGATTAAAGTAACTGAGAAATTTACAGATACAAAACGATTTCCAATATTGCTTGATTCATAGTCATCCCTCTCTCCATCAAAATGTTATTAGTAATCGGTGTGATTTCTAGTTCACTGCAAGGGATAATGTAAAACATGACATACTTGGATCAAAGCTGGAAAAAGCTAATGATTTGTATTTGAATTTGTCTTTTGTATAGAGCAATATTGAAATGCTGGTCTTTCAGGGAGGAATAAGGCATTAAGATATCTTCACTAAATCAAAATTATTAAGTGTGGAAATACCCCAAAACAGCATTTATCAAATGTTTTGACACTACAATGCTATGACAATTGTCCTGTTTTTACGTTTGATTTCACACATAACGCGAGATCTCTCAGTGAATGGTAACTGGTTCAATAACCAGTATTAAATAATATGAGGTTATTACGAGGATACTTCAAAGTATGCACGAAGACAGTACAGCTATAGAAATGGCCTAACATGGCTTCTATAGAAATGGCCTAACATAGCTCTCATGAAAAATGCCTTAACATAGTTCTTATAGAAATGGCCTAACATAGTTTTCATAGAAATGGCCTAACATAGTTTTCATAGAAATGGTCTAACATAGTTTTCATAGAAGTATCGACCAGCGCGCAGCCAGTTTTTTTCTCCCAAGGATACATCATGGGAATGTCAAAATCCAAAATGTTTAGAACAGAATCAGCAAACATCTTTGTGTGGAGTACGGTCAAACTGAGGTGGCAGCCATGTTTGTTTTTATTATCAGAGAACACTTACACGCGTAATCATTTTATATTTGAAATTTGCATTTCCTAATATGGTAGGATTAAAATACCCTATAAAATATCACAAAATTACGGTACGCTGTAACTTATGGCGTACAGTGACAGATGTATAATAATAGAATTTACTATATTTGCTCAACTGGAAACCCAACACGTCTTGCAGCATATTTCCTAGTGACTAGAAGCAGGTGATCAAAAATAAAATAGCTTAATTTAACACATGAGATATACATGTGAATTAATTTCAAACCAATTGAATGAAACCTGAATGACAGAAGATACAATCTGAGCGATATGATTGGCTGAATATGTTACTATGACTGCCTATTATCTACTGTAAAATACTTATTTTAGCTGGAATAAATTTTTGGTGAAAATGCTTTTTGGGTGTTTTGTATAGAATTTATTTTCACTGATTTTTGACGAGTTGAAAAAAGGTATATTCACTGGATTTCAATTTCACTGAATTATCCCTTCAGCAAAAGTAAATTCCAAGTGGAAATAAAGTATTTTACAGTATGTAAAATAATATATGAAGTACATTTACTTGCTAACACACCAGGGGAGGTGCAAGAATATGAAACACCACTATGCCACTTTTTACAGGAGTGTTAAAATACCTCACCCAGGATCTGAACATGTGTAAAATTCTACCCATATTAGGGTGGGTGAAGCTCTGCTGTATCAATTTATTGGGTGTTCAGTATTTTGTGGTTACTAGGGTAACCAGTTTCATGGCTAACAGTGATGAAATTGTTCTTAATGCATCAACGCAATTACCTTTTGAAATCTTTGTGAAGTTCAAGTTAATTCCCTCTACATAAAGGGACTGTTATGAGTGGAGTTAGTATTGCCAGTCAAATTTCAACACTTAAATTATTAATTGATAGTAGTTTTCATGCCACACAATCTACAGGCTAAGATTTACTACACGAAGTATGGACTAAGATTTAAGCTAATCCCAAATGTTTGCATATCGGATAGACCCAATTGCATTCACACACAAAAGGAAACAATGGTTAGCAGGGACCATGGAGGTAAAATAATCCTAAACTTCTTTCGTTTTAAACAAGTTTAATCCTATAATTCCCTTTGTCTTATCGTCCTTTCACCCCAGGATCGTCGCCGACACGTCATTTACTCTTAAGCGTTGCTGAGCACAGTACACATTCCAAGGTCTTGTTTTATGGTGTCGCAGTAAATGTCAAAGGACATAAAGCATGCGCAGATCTTTTATACGTAGAGGAAACGTGTTTGTGAGAACGGGAAAGTTGGAATTTTGAAAATCAGAGAGTTTCTTGTTAAGTTTATGTAATTTTTCGTTTTTCAGCACATTTTCCGTTGTAGTTTTGAATCAGCAATATTGTAATGTTTCGAAACCTTGCTAGTACTATTTTTTAGTCCACAATAAAGCTCGTTTAATGATCTTTGCAATGGTGCATGGCATGGACCGCACCGCGTTGTACCAGTGACTGAATTTTGAGGTTCGAAATGACGCTTTTTGAAATTTATATCCCTTGTATGTCCTACTTCCTACGGCAGTGCGTCAACAAGAAATTCGCTGCATTTTTTTTTGTTTTTGAGTAATCGTTTCGTTCACAGCATATGGAAAACAATTTTTCGTCTGTAATATGCTCTTCGATTTCGTTTACGTCTTCTGAAATGAAGGACATAGCAGTTTCAGCATCGTAGTCAAACTCGTACGCGTTATCGATCGTCGCCATATTTGTTTATAAGAATTTGACAGAATTGTCACGAAAATCACAGAGTGCCGCCGAAGGCGTCCGTAGTATGCTGATTCACGGTAATCCTCACTGCCCTAAGAGGAAACTGTCCTCCTTGATCCGTTCGGCAAATAAACTCCCTGATCTATGTACAAACAGCGGCGACCATCCTGGTACCTTTGATCTAAGCTTGGCTGTGACTCCTTCTCTTTTTACCTCCATGCATGGACTAATGAACGCCCAAACTTGTTAAGAATATACAAAAATCTTCAGTCATTTTACGGTAACTATGATTACTCAGTACAGTAACTAGGAAGGTATACACGTTAGTTTTACGGTTATAAAACAATACAATACCAGATTACAGAATAACAGGAAGTAGCACAGAGTCTTGTCTGCAGTTAATTTTTTATCAAGAACAAACATAATATGTGTGCTTGCAATGATTGTCATGTCGGAAATGTCATACTGAAATGAATAGTTACGAATATAATAGTAAATCTTCCAAATGAACATTGAATTCAATGGTGTTTTGGGCACATAGCCTGCGCTAAGCATTCATGCACGCTTCGTTAGCACAGGGAGCTGTGCAGCTCCCTGGTTAGCCCATGCTAAGGCTCTGGATTTGGTCTTAAAAACAGGCCTGATTTAATCTGTACTTAGCATTTCTCACAAACTAAAGTTTTAAGCATTAAGCAGGAGTCTAATTATAAATATAAATATTTTGAGTGCCAACAACAATTTATTTTATTGCAATATTCATTTATAAAATATAATAGAAAATATTTGTTATAAATAATATAAATAGCTGACACATACAGAACTGCCAGTCAGTCAATAAAAGTGTGGAATGCATTTGATCGTAAATTGCAGTGGGGTGTGATGCTCAGAACAATAGTCATCACAGACTAACCAAAGTTCAATGAACCCAGTTAGACATTTAATAGTGGGACAGAATGCTAACTGTGATAACAACAATTATTATTTTAACTTCATAAATGTAGACGAAGGCTTGGGGGTTTCAAAATAGAGCCACGTAATTGAAGAAGGTTATTCGGCATAGCATTCCAAGTATAGGCACCATGGTGGGCGTGTTGCTTTTGTGTCACCGTCACGAGATCACGGTGTTTCGTCGATTCAAATACATGAAGAATAGTCTGCACAATCACCGAGAACCTTCAACGGATGGTTTTGTGTCCTTGAATTATAATGTTTGAAGTTAATAGAAATTAATAGGGCAGTGGTGTGCATGCAAGCTGACAGCCAGTGCTATGACATATTACGTCAACGCGGCCGGATGCGCTAAAAAGGCAAAGTCGACATTTTGATATCAACCGTAAACGTAAACAAACTTGAACTCGGTTACGTAGAAGCTGTGTCACAGAAAACGGGTTTAACAGAGGTTGTTAGTACATCGTAAACACCGCTTAGACATCAGGGATTTCAGTTATACATTGATAAATAAATTCAGAAATAGTAACTGCTGTTGATCGACAGCGAATCGCATGTATGTGTTGCTTACCTCCCCAAATACTCAGTTTTAGTTGTGACTTGTCAAGGTTTTCCACGAAATCACCCAGGTATTTGTTCATAAGATCGGTGATAATAGACTCGAACACCATCTTGACTCACGGTTGCTGCCCCGAGGAATCAGAAATATGCAGTAATTTCATTCACCAGAGCAGCAAGTCAGTGACACATCGCAGTTCACTTTACCACATCGTGTACACTGAGTGTATGTGCCCTAGGATTTACAGGACTTTCCTCGCAGGTCACCATTGGGGGCGTTGTTTCCATCCATAAGGGCTCATAGACGACAATGTTAACATATGACGAGATTGCTATATGAAAATGACGAAGAAAGTTGAAAATGTGGCTCAAAAATGGGAATCAGCATGCCAGTAATCAACCATATGAAAAAAACTAACATGTTGGCCAGCTCAAACTCTTGCAAATCTCAGGTAAACAAGACACACCTACTGTATTTGGATTGCACCAACAGAAATCACTGGAAAATCACCAAGATTAGAACATCCAAATACACACAGAATAAACCCACAGCTACAAATTTCATTGGTTCTTGCTAGGCATTTAAATTGAGCAGCCATTGGTTGATTAGTGGCATAAGACCTTAAGAGAAATAAGAAAGTTTAATAAAGTTCTTGTTGATCTTATATATGATGGAATATCATTAGACGAGTAATTTCCCATGCAAAAAAATCCCCAAAATTTAAACCCTGGGAGTTATTTATCAAAATCTACCACTTGGTGGCGCCCTATACCCAGACAATTAGTTGTAGAAAGTGGCAACATACACACTCAGCATAACACCAACATAGATGGTAGGCAATGAATATAAGCCTGATTATTAGATGCAGTACTGTAAGGTATAATGTTCTCATTCACCACAAACAAGTACAGACCAACGTTTGGCATGATTAGTAATTTTAATTAATTTCTATAAATAATACATAGAATAATGACAAGTAAAGGTAGTTAACCACTATAATTTTTAAAAAAAATTCTACTGAATGAAAAGTCTCAATTCATCAGCTTATTATTTCTCCAATTAATTAAAAACAAAAAAAAACAATTCCACGGTATCTACATTTAGGCCAGAGACCTGTGATGGGCAACCTTGGATATACCAAAACACAACAGTGGTTTGATTTACCATGGCCACACATAGAATTTGCTCAACATAAAAAGCTTAATCAAATCTTATGTGAAAAAAAGTAGTTCAACGAAACAATTTTATGATTTAAAAATAAATAAAAATAAAAATATACAAACCAGAAAAGGGTCTAAATATAAAATACTCGTATTACACATCCCTGATCAAATTAAATTCAAATCAACAGCATTTCTAATTAATTGGGGGGGGGGGGTTACATGCACTGTTCAATAATAAACTCAAGATGCGATTAATTAGCTAACTATTCACAAAAATTCTGAGAAAAGAGCAATAATTGTGAAATTGAAAGAGTTGTAATACTTGGCTAATATACTGACAGTATGCAAATCTCTTGTCAGTGACAAGATACACAACACAATTTTGAGAATTTATTTAAATATTTGGGATTTTGACCTCATTAAACTTTGAATAGGGTACATTAGAAATGACCGCACTACAATTTGTTGAGTTTGTCTGCCATAATGTGAAAATAAGACAAAAAAGGGGTTAAGCATTTTCTCAGAATTCCTAGAGCCATTGAAATTAGTGGTGACATGAATAATTCATTGATGAATGAATACAATTTTTGGACCAGTTTAATAAAAACATTTATATTTACAGACCACAACCCAACCACAGCCACAGCCAATTAATAAGATTAGGGCAAAAAATATACCGAATTACAAATTTTCAAAATCTTCAACCAAGATATAAGAGATTGACAGAAATGGGTGAAACGCATAGCAAAATATTTCTGGATAAAAAATTACTGCCAAATAAATGGAGCTGAACACACAACCTCATAATTATCAGATCTATGCAAGGTCAGGAGAGGTCAAAACTTATAATAATTAGGTCAAAGTAAACTTTGGTTATGTAAGATGAAATCTGCCCAAAATGACTAAATTCCAGTGAATAGAGCCATAATTATGGACAAAACAACAACCTCAGGTGGTCCTAGGCAAACTGTTACTTCAGAGAAATAGAAGGTTTAATACAGTTCTTGTTGATGCTACGAGCAGCCATTGGTTGATTAGTGGCATGAGACCATAAGAGACGACCGAGACGACCGTTAAGGTAGAAACCTACTCATAAATTAAAATACCCAGAATTTATTCATTTTGCAATAAACTGTACTCCAAGGTAATATAAGGTTATTGACTTTAAAAGGTTGGGGGTCACTAGCCTTATTTTCGAGAAATTGATGGTTGTATTTATTTGAAAGTCGCCATTTTACACTATTATAATGCTTTTACCATAGGTTCCTATGGCACAGATATTATACAATATCTCAAAATCTAACCTGGTGACATAGGCTGAGGAAAATCCTATATTGTATAATGATGGAGTACTTTTTGTTGTTTTGAAATATTTTAAAAATCTGGGTTTTTAAAAAGTGTCAACAAATGCAATTTTTTTAACAATGTGTTCTATGGAATTGTTCTAAAAATATCGATTTCCAAAAAATATTAGGACACGTTTCACAAAAAGCTTAAGTGTAACACACAAAATAATGCTATTTCATTGTACCATGGACATTAGCTTCATGATTGTACATAATAAACTAATGAACATTGTCATGCGATTTATGACCAATTTTGTCAAAAATGATGAGTAGGCATCATCTACTTTAATAGTGGATTGAAAATTATGTCATTTTCATACTATTATGAACTAATGCCATACAAATTCTGAAAATGGAAAACAATGGGAAAAAATTAGCCAAAAAGAAAGCGTTGCACTCACACCTGCGGAAAAAGTTTGATCCATTTTTTTCAAATTCGTCATAAGAATTTGGGATGGATGTGGTATGTCACATAAGTAACTTTTATAAATATGAGCGATTCTTTCTGTATTTATTGTACTTCAAAAATCACAAAAATTAATGAATAGATCTGAATAATAATTATAAATCTGATACACCCGCAAACATACACGTTCGGATTCAATTTTAACCCGCCATAGTATTCCGTAATAGTTACATCGACGTAAAAACAGACGAGAACACTGGCACATTACACCGGCTTAAATATGGCGGAGGCGACACCGGCGCCCATTCTCAAAAAATGTTGTAAGTGCATTGGCAATTGAATACAATTCAATAGAATATATTTTCATAATGCAGCCAGTCTTGTTTCGATCATGATGGAGAATAATTATTTATTCATATCTCGAAATATTGCACTATGACAAGAGATAAAAACGTCATCTATAATATTTTGATATGAATCCCCATGTTTTTAAAAAAATTCAAAAATTAGAATGTAAAATCAATCAATCTTGTCGCAGTAGGCGCTGAATACTCACTTCTATACCCCATTAGAGTGCCTTCTAACCGGATGTGACGCGCCACTGACGCACCTACAATTGCTGTGACGTAACCCGAATTTGTGCTAATTCACTAGTCACAAGGTAATATTTTAAAACATCTTAGTATAGATATTGCATTTTTTTCTTGAAGACCGCCCTCCCGAGCAGTGATTTTGGAAGATTCCATTTTAGCTCGGAATTCCTATAAAATCAGTTCTGTAGAGGGCACACTGCATCTTAAAGTCTTTCGACGCGTTTCAATCTTTCAATAACATACCTAATCTACGCAATAATCAAATTTACCGCTTGTGTTTGTTATTTGGCCCATAATTCGCGCACGAAATATAATGACAGTTGGAACAAGTCTGAATAATTTAATATTTTATAGTTTTTTTCTTTTTAATTTGTCTTTTAATTATTCATAGTCATAATTACAATTTATTGGGATTTTATTTGGTAATTATCTGGCCAGAAAAGTTTGTAGTTAGAAAATTTAAAAATATATATATAATTAAGGAAATAAAAACAATACAATTATGAAAAAGGTCACACGCAAAAATGAATAATTAAAAAAATAAAATTAAAAAAGTTATGGTGACTTTATGCTGTTTGAGACAAATGTCTGCTCACTGCTTCGTCTTGCTCTTGTGTTAGAAATGTGTCATCAATGCGCCGTACTTCTTGAATTTTTAAACAACTTAAATTTCGAACTTGTTAATGCAGTAATTAGACCACAGGAGCGCGGCAAACGCGAGTTTATTTCATTATAAATTGATAACAAAAAATTCTTAGAATTGCTTTTTGGCTGGTTGCAATGTGCCAAGCATTCTTCTGTAACAATACTACTTGGCTGGTATAGTTACCAGTTTCACCGTTGATGGCGGTAGCATTCACTCCGAGCTAAAACGTCACGGTCTTTGTTTCTATGCCCTCCAGTTATTTCAGAGTCAGAAAAGTATTTGTTTCACATTTCAGACTACTAATTGATTTTAGTTGTCTGAGACTTTTTATATTTTCACAAATCGAGCTTTTGGCACAATTGATGATGATAGCTCATTTCACGGTCTCGATATTCACGAGAAATGATCACAGGTTTTTAGCTCTTTCAAACTAATTGCACGACCGTCCAACCGGTAACTGGTAGCACAGTGGTTATCGCATCAGACTCATGATCGGTATACTTTGGGGGAGTATTGGTTAATGTCGGGAACCGTCGGCACAAGAAATTAACAAGAAAATGCTCGACCGTCACGATTGGAGCATTATTTTGCTCTTCGGCCAACTTTTGCTCCTGGACGTATAAAGCTGGTGATATGAAGCAAAGTGCGAATTTTGGCAACTTTTAAACCTTGTAAATAACGTGTCTTCATAAATTACTTTCCTTTCCATTCAGACACTGTCCCGATTCACCCATAGTTCGATGTACATTTTCAGCTAACATTACCATCGTTGGACTTCGACCTCGCAAACAATCTCCTAGTTAATTTTACATTTTTCCATACAAAACAACTTACCACATTCACGAAAATCATTTAGCATCTTTTCGAAACAACTGTGTTGCCCTCATCGTCTTCATTCAAGTTCCCCGTCATTTTGCTTAAGTCACGGAACTCGTCGTCGCCTTCCCAAACAATTGTTTTGCCTTTGTGGTCAACGTTACATATTTCCGAAAAATTATTTTACATTCATTATCTACTTGTGAAGTTACCAAGACAACTTTACTCTGCGCTCGCAATCATCAATTATTTCTAATATTTTCACTCTGCTGCATCGTCTGATAAGGCAATTCATATACTTTTTGCCCTTTTTTCCAAACAACTGTATTCTGATTGGATGTCAAGACCACATTTTGCCAAATATTTGTTTTCAATTTCTCAGGAACATTTCCTGACTCGCCGTTATGCAGCTTTTATTCCATGGGTATGAGATACATTTATTAATTCGAAGCTCGGTGGACATAATGGCATGGCGACACTTTCTTCAAAAACAGTAACACCGCTTCTAGAGTAAGATTAAAATATAAACAAATGTTTTGCAAAAAAATAACTGTGGTGGCGTTTTTCATAGGTGACTGGTCAACAACAGGTTTCTGCGGATAAAATACGGTACGACTACTACTAGACTAAAAGTACATACTTTATTTTCGCTCAGAATCAGAATATATTCGGTAAAGGGATGAGTCAGTGAAAAAAAAATATAGCGAATATACCTTTTTCCAGATATCTTAGATTAAAACTCATCAAAAATCAGGAAAAATAAACCCCATACAAAAGACCAAAAATTATTAATTAAGTATTTTAACAATAATGTACATTTTAAAATGTGATGCTAGAGCCTTCATGTAATAACGCTGTCAACCTACCGTCCATATAAGGTAATAGTGAGCCGGTATTATAACTGGTGTGTACACACTTCTCAAAAAACTATTACTCCTCACTATCCAACTGTAGTGTAGTGTAGTGTAGTGTAGTGTAGTGTAGTGTAGTGTAGTGTAGTGTAGTGTAGCGCAGTGAAGCGCTGTGCAGTGCAGTTCAGCGCAGCGCAGTGCAGTGTAGTGTACTGTTTTAAAAAACGGTTTCTCTTTGGTGGTTTGTTATTTTACCACCTCACCACTCACGTTGTTTTCTCTATCGTCAGTGTGAGAGTATTTTCCATTTTTATCTTTATCACTGCAAAAGTAGGTATATATATCTCCCGGCGGAATAAACGGGAGGGAAGTGCTTTTGGGGATTCGCTGGAAATTCCCAAAACTCGCATCACCAGCTGAATTAAATCTCAGTACCAGTACTCCAAATTTGTGAAATAGGAGGACAGGTTCGAATAAATTTGGGCAACATATAAAGCTCTCTGTTCCTTTGAAAATGGAAAATTACAAATCCATTTGTGAAAACTCTTTTGGTTCAGAAGTCGTTTTTTACACCTCTGTTATTCAGCTTGTCATCTGGTTCAATCTCGTTGTTTCATGTCTGTGTCTACTCAATACATCTCATCCAATGCCGTTGTTTGTTTGTTTGTTATTACACAATACGTTACGTATTTGTATATGGTTTTGTATTTGTCTTAGAATTTGGCAGTGGGGATCGTAACCTCTTGCAGTGAGAACCAGTGTGGCTGGCCTGCCAACGGGGTTTTAAGGGTTATTTTTCTAAATTAAATGTTCAATAAATGTTAGGGTTTTCGTTTTATTTTACCTGTGAAACAAAAATCACTGTAGTGTAGTGTAGTGTAGTGTAGTGTAGTGTAGTGTAGTGTAGTGTAGTGTAGTGTAGTGTAGTGTAGTGTAGTGTAGTGTAGTGTAGTGTAGTGTAGTGTAGTGTAGTGTAGTGGAAAGTACGGCAATTTAAGATATATAGAAGAAGGAGGTGTGTTTTTATTTTTAAAAGAAGAATTTATTTAATCTGAGATGCTAAACGATTTCCTTATTGTCATTAAATTATTGCTGAAATTTACATGATATATGTGATGTGTATCGAGACACCCCGTTCCCACAGATCTGGGACGGCGCAAGTCTAATATTTTGACAAAAATAGATTAATTTCTTTAAATATTTCAGAGTGAAAATTGAGCATATGACAGGTCGCAGTAGATGGTAAATTACACAGATGTCCGTCCTACATAATTTATAAACCAGAGTACGTACCGTCTACCTACAAAAACATTCCGTTAGAGCTGACACAGTTCTCTAGGGGGACACAATGCATTGTAACATTGACGTGTTTTCTCATCGGACACTCTCCAGGGTTGCGTGTCGGTAATCCACAACATGCCATTTACCGGTGTTTTCTGGTGTGCTGCGATAATCCCGTAGGATTAGTTTGCGTTGATACAGTAGATGTTCATGTCTACTTATAACCTGATTTATGATGTTTTATCACCACAGAAAAACCTTGATCTGTCCGCAGAGAAAAATCAATGGACTGCACGTGTAATAGCCTTAACATATGCTGTTACATCACAGGGCTGTGCCGCTGTTGCTGTTAGTCGAGGGTTACATATTAAAGGGCAATGGTCGTCGTGCCGCGTCCTGTTCGATATGGGACTCATAGCCACGTAAACAACGCGTGCAAAATTGTTTGTTTACATTGTTTGTTTACATGAAATGCGAACACGCGATGCACGACGACCACCACCCTTTAAACTGCTGTTTCTCAAACTTGAAATAAATGTAGTTTCATTGTCAAACATATAGTTCACTCACAAATCCAGAAAATAGTCAACGCGACGACTGTAGCCTAGTATAATACAATTCAATGTGCTGTTTTGGGAGTATACTAGTAGTAATTTTACTTTCACTTTTGATGTCTCCCCATACTGCAATTAAAACAGTTATACTATGATTTTTACCTCAGAAAAATACGATTTGATTTTACACTTATAAATTGTGCGTGTTGTTATTCAATGGTACTTAAAGGCGATTAAAACGTTGGTTCAATTTATTGAACGAATTTTATTTGTGTGCGTGCACTGAATATCTATGATCAAACATTTCTGTTTTATGTAATATTTACCAAGAAAATAAAATCGGTTCTATATCGGAGATTGGTTAGTTCAGATGATCAGGAGACCCCAGTTGTTCGGAGTATTTTTCGATTAGAGATATAATGAGTAGTAAAGACTTATATTTAGCCTAGAATACACAAATCAAATACAGTGACTTCAGGTAAGGCATGTACATACTTATATATATATTTATAACCCCAACTGTTTTTATTTAAAATTAAACAAAACAAAACGATTGGATTGGCTGGGCAGGCGCCTCTTTCATTTGAGCACAGTCCCTCTTCAGAAAAGTGCCCAAGCATTTAATTTGACGTAACATCCTACGTCACTGCGTGCACGCATACAATGTACAGCAGAGATGACGTCAGTTCTATAAGGTTAATATAAATGTCTTAACTTTTAGTTCAATGTCTTAAAATTGCTCTTTAAGAATGCTAGGTCACAAATTTATTCTCATGCCTCCCACCCTCTCCATACACTATATGTCTCACAGTACCCAATGTAAATATCCCAGAAATCATAACAAGTACCCTTAGGCATCTAGGTGTTATACCCTCCATACATTCACATAATGTATCACACCAAATACACCCTGAAGGTTTTAAGACTGTCTTTATATATATATATATACTAACTATGTTTCTCAATACATTTTCGAGTTTAACTTACACTGCTGTAGACGATACACTGATTCTACCAGCAGCTATCAGCACTGACATACTGACACAAAATACTATGCATATAGTCTGGCGACTACAATAATTGTTTTGTCTGCTTAGCAACTTGAAATCATTTCAATAGTTGTCTAAGTGGTCCGTATGATAACTATTGTTAATAAAGTTGGGAAAATTCTTCTACAAAAACGTAAATGTTTTGGAAATATTTAATTATGCAGAGATAAAATATGTTTTAAACTGATTGGCACATCTGCGCAGACTACTGTAGGAGTTGTATCAATTATTATGCATATCTCTAAAATGTGACGCAGATAGAAAATTAGTATCACGTGGTTTGACGTCATAGTATCGAACTATTTGTTTCATTATGCGCTCTGCATAAAAGTTGTCTGGAGTTCCCCGTTTCTATGGTATCCAATAACAACAGAATGAGGTAAACATTGACAAGCTTATATGTTATAGTTCATTTTCCAGAATTAGTATTCAGGTGCTCATACAAATTGCTTGAATTAGTAAATGTTTTTGGGAATTAGAATTGGCCTCGCGTAATATAAAGTTTGCGTAATTTGTAGCCGAAATGACGTCACTTTAGGACATGACGGACAGTTCGCAAAACTCTACTGCGCATGCGCAATGTATCATCTTGAAGCATGATGTCCACGCCAAACCCCTGCAGACGCCGTCATGGACGAAGCAACACGTACGAGTTATGAATTTCTCAGAGGACAAACAATAAACGTACTTGAACACAAATTACCGACTCGTACATGTTTCCCCGAATGAAATAGAATCAGAATGTGACGTGTTATGAAACACCCATTGTCTGGCCTTATTTTGACAGAAGTATATGTGAGTCACTCCCGGTTCTGTGAGCCACTTACTTGCACCCTGAAAAACAAACGTTGTCGTGCTAACGACCAATCGATATGTGCATACTGTGTGTAGATGCAAACAAAGAAAATGAAAGGCCAGGCACAGTAATAAATAAGGTGCACAACGGATTTATTTCTTGTCAAAATATTTGTACATCAGAATGTCCAACATTTCGTAAGTCGGGTCTGCGAGGGCGCTATTTATCTATACATTTTTGGAAAGGTGTAAATATACTACAATCACCCGGATGTGATCACCTTTAGACCAATGATCATAGAAAAACAGCATCATCTTCACGTGGTAATACATATTATCAAACAATTAAACAGCTGCTTCTTTGTTCTGACGAAATCAAACACTATTTACAAGAACGTTAAAAGATGTGATCACAGTATAGGAAAAAAACTCAAAATTCGCATGTTGCTTTTTCAATTGAAGGAAACACATTCCCATGACAACAACAGACCCACCCGCTCAGTAATGATACATTTGCAGAATAATGCGCGACATATCCAGCATACCGATCATAAAAATAGACTAATATTTTGCACAGCAAACTGAGGATGTAATTAGATTAGAGGGCGCAATATTGCACATTGATTAAAGTGAAGATGACTGAGCTGTGCATATTCCAATATGTCACGTGACTTTTTTAACTTTGATCTCCCTGGTACCAGTCCTGCAGCGTGTTCCATTCTTTCAGCGTCACAGCGCCATCTCCTGTTGGTGAACGAAAGAACTTCAATAGTCAGTAAGATTATGATTTAATTGTGTTCCCCGGTTACATTAGATCACATCCCTAAAAACAGTATATTGTTTAAACAATATCGACGCTGTGAAGTTTACGTCATAAAAGCGCTTCGTCGCTAGTGGGCGTAATTTATAGAAAAGGTATTTTAATTCGTTCGCCAATCTCGACCAGGCATTTTGCCATAATGGCACAATTTTATCACACTTTTTTCGAATCGATACGCAGTTAAATCATTTTTCATATTTAACGACAATGAATTCATCATTTATAACTTTTATTAAATGTGCGATCTGATAATGTCCACCACCCTCACCCCCGATATCCACTTTTTGAATTACACTGTATGAGAGCCTTTACATAATATATGTACAACGAGTGAAACGGACAACCATATGTCACGAGACTGAACCACAATTAATATGAATAAAACTAGCACCACTTGGGACATTCGATCGGCGACAGCGGAAACAATAAATCAGCAACCTTTTTAATTATTAACGCTTATTTAAAACTAACGCTATTCTCACCGGCACTGACTGCGGTTAATATCGAGGAACTTTTTATATTTTGTGGAGACACTCGGGATCAGCTGAGACTAAACACGATCAGATATCAGTGCCAGAATTGAAAACTCTGTGTTAAACAGATATACTAGTGGTTACAGTTAGACAGTGGTTTCTTACAACTATCAATTTCATTAAATGTACGTTTCAGTTATTAAATATTTGATTTTAGAAAAGTCTCCCATTTTCGGATAGTGATCGCAGAAAACGTGTTCATATGTAGATTTGATAGTTATTGAAGTTATCATTTTGTATCACAAATATATATAAGTTCTAAATTTTCAATATTAGTGATTTTCAACGAGTCAGAATATTGGCGATTCCCATTTCATTGTTTTTTCGAATTGTTTATCTCTTATCGCATTTGAATAGCCTTCCAATTCTCGTGGATTCGCGATATTCTGACTCATAGTAACTCAAATCTAAAGCAACTATTCAGATATTCCCCGCAATTCGCGCATATTCATACCAGCACATTTTATTTCCTAAATTTATTATTTTGTAAAACCGCCAATTTAGCGTGATGATTGGAAAAATGAAAAGTGTGTATGATGTTGAAGACCACGACGCCGTAAATTGTCAGATGATGATTTGGTGTGATCGTGTGACTTGAATCCTACTATATTCGCTTAAATTTAAACTTCTGAAAAATAAAAACTTCCAGAAAATGACAAAACACGCTAAAGCAACTCTTAATGTAATATTCTTCTGTTCAGGACAAATCTTGCACGATTGAACCAGTTAAACCAGTAGCACACATGATGCATTCCTTGTATAAAAGAACAGCGACATAAATTTAAAATGTACATCGAAGGGTATACGATTAACAAAACAAAAGAACATTACTCACCGTTAGCATCAGCTTCAACAAGGTTCTCTAAAAGTTCTTTGACCTCTGATATGCTGACTGTACCTTGTCTCTCTCTGTCAATTTCGTTAAATGATATGTCCGTCCCAGCTCGTTTACCTTGGACCATATACGAGAGAAGCTTTGGGTTCATTCGAGCTGACCTTGCTAGCTGCGCACATAGCAATACTGACACCAGAAAAACACCTGAATTGAAGATACAGTTATATGATATTTATACGGTATAAAACAAGACTTTGAGTACATAGAAAACAAACAGATAACATAAACATAATTGGTGGTTACCAGCAAGTACTTGTATTACAAACTGTTTTAAGGGTGTGCTTCTTCAGCCTATGATTTAAAAAAATTAACAAAAAGCGTTCTTCAAGAAAAAAAGAAAGAATATTTTTGGAGGACAGATCAACAAATTACGGTCTTCGAGCTTCGAAACGACTAATACCGTACTGTGACGATGTTAGGCTGTGACGTAAATTTATTCATTTGCATATTGATGTAAGGAAAGTCTCGCGGAGATCTGGGGAACAGTTCCAGGCTCTGACGTTGGTCGAGTCCAATTGTATAGAAAAGTGCATACTTATTGAGGCAGTGTGTAGCCACGCTAGAGTGCATGGGCGTTGGTGTAAGGGTTTAGATACCTTAGTCGAAGAATGTTCTCTTAAGGTAGTAGTGGTTACGGTAAGTTAAATATGTTAAATCTCATAATGATAAGATACAGTTTCCAATAAGTGGTTACGGCGAGTTAATAATTGGTTGAATTGGTGTTTTTAATGAGATAACTTAACACATTACATCATTCCAGTTCACTACATTTCACGTAGCGTTTGAGAATGATGAATATGTTTGGGCCACCTTGAATCGCAGATGTGAAATGCGCAGATTACTGGTGGATAAAACTCGGTGATACCAAAGGCTGTGCAACCAGTTCAGACAGCGATGAAAAAGGGGAGATGAAAGTCGTCCCGACAAGAGACTGAAATAAAAGATCCATGTGGAACTAATCCAGTTCTTCTGTCGATTCATCATCTTATTAACCAATAGTCGAATATCTTGATATTTAACGGCTTGCCTTTCTGGTACGACCCTACCGTCTTATTGGTATGCATTTTACTAACCGAGCGTTTCGATTTGTATCTAAGTTTCCTTCAGTCTGCCCCGTCGCCTACTGGGTTGTTATATCGCAGTTTATGTTCAACGGATTGAATATAAAAAGTTGGCTTGCCACCGTGACGGTAGATTTAGCCTTGATTCATTATCATAATGGTGTTTATGGTTATATATTCAAATTTATTGTTATTGAGTATTTTGAAGTGTATTTCAAAATTTCTGAAAACCAGTTTTCATCCACTATCTAATAAAATAATAAAACACCCAAGTTACAAGCGGCGTTATCCTCCTCCCGGATGTGGAGACGAATTATTACTTTGCTCATTCTATTCTGAGAAATCAGCTTCTAGTTTACAACAACTGACAACAAATAAAACTTAGTCTGGAAATGGGAAATAATGTTGTAAAATCATTTTTTGGCGTGTTGTCTGTTTTTGGACGGAATAGGTGTCTATCAGTACTGGTGGTGCATCCCTTTCATGTTGCCAGGGAAGTGATGAACAAGAATACACATTTTTGAAGGTCGAAGTATCGGAAGGACTTGCATCGGATAAGTGGTGAGCAGAACGCTTTTCACGATGTTCCGTCAGTCAGTGGTATGGCTAGAGCGAAGACTCTCACTAGATATTAAATAACTAAAACTCACTGTTTAAGCCCAGTTCCAATATCTCAGAGGCTACTTTAAAGACGCAATAAAGAGGAAGAGCTTTTAGCTTGAAACAATAATGTAGCGTTTTGTTTCTGTCCATGTATATTCTTTCTGGTCTGAAATTAATATGCTTCAACCCACATGTAAATATGGATATTATGTATGTTCTTATATGAACGACTAATATTTACTTATTCCGTGTTGTTATATACGAAGGAGAATACCGATACGCGCAAAATATTTCAGTCACGATCGCGGCCTCTCACAGGTTTATACCAGTATACGTATTGTACATGTGGACGGAATAGATCTTACGCGATTTACCGTGGAAATCTCGTTACGAGCGAAAAAGCCGCGAAAATGATTTTGCCTTCTAAAAGTGTTCTATTCTCTCTCAATAATTACCATGGTTACATAGATCAGTGGAAGAATGGACGTTATGACGGGGGAGTATAGACTATCATTTGAGGGATAAATGAAGTCTCGTTGATCTCTCGCTCTCAGCGAGATTCAGCGGCCATTTCGTCTAAAGTACACATGCGCAATACGAATATATATATACATAGAGATGAAGCAACCACGACAGACAGAGCATGTGTATATCAGTATTCTTCGTATGGCACTTCACGGTTTTCTTGCTCGTAACGAGATCTCGCTGGTGATATAATGTCTGTTTAGTAATGCAATATACGAATCAGACTTTGTTAAGGCAGGGGTTCGCAGTGAACATCGGCCCACGATATCAAAGAATGCAGTAGGCTAGGCTGGGTACTGATTTATTCAACGTTTTTTGTTGAAATGTCGGACTGAATTGAATAATTATTTTGACCATGCGATCCGAGGAATTTCAAACACTTGGCAAATGTGGTGACGTGACGGTACGAACTGGAACTGGAGATGAGTAGATAATATACTTCAAAGTAAGTGATAACATATGATAAGAAAAAAATTAGATTGATCCCAGTGGACCGATAACATTGTGAACGCAGAAGAAGATTCCAAAACACAAACAATAAAATATAGATCGCCAATAGACAGAACCGCTATTGTATACTAGTAGCCATCCGAAAAATGATCGTACTTGTACTCAGTAAAGAGAACATACTACCGATCACTTGTAGCATAGTGGTTGTTGCATCAGACTCATGGTCGGTATACACAAGTTTAAATCCTACCTTAGGCTGAACACCAAAAGGGTCGACCCCTACCCTGGGTGAGTGTGCCACAGGCTCAATGGGAAGGTCAATTTCACTGGCCGAGATTCATTCACTAATGAATGCGACTTTGGAGGAACCTTGGTTGGGTGACGCCAGGATAGCGCATTCAAATTGCCATTTGATAGAGAGATGGTCACACAGCCCTGTCATGTAGTTCCAAACATGAATATGGCTTCTGTGGCAACAATGCACTATATATTAGCACATACAAAGAAAGTCAGGAGAGACAACAGTGACATTCAATGTCCAGAACTGCCACCGGGCACAAAAACATTTTAGAAAAAAGAAGAAAACTACGAGATACTGTGAGTTCAATATAGTTGAATTACGTAATCTACTCTACGTCACACGCCAATCAAGCTAATCAGATCACCTTTCCAGCTCCAACGTTGGTGTCACGGGCAACTTGCAATTTAATTTTCGCATACACATCTTGTTATGGTTTCCACAGCCATAGATTAGTCTGCGGTCACGTGCAGATATCGAACCAATGCCATTCACTGTGTGGGTGGCCAGTGTTAGAGAGGGCTTTGCCAGAAATATGAAAGCATCGAAATATATATACTCGTCACATCTCGTACTGTATCTCTATGTTTTCCAGCGTGGGGAAATACCATCAGTTAGTCTCTTCCCTTTAGCTGGAACTCACAACTCAACATCTACTTTATCCACAGTGGTTACGGATCGTGTGTTATTTCAAATATTGTTCCCTGTTGAAGTAATTCTTTTAGTTGTTAATATTGTTGTTGCTGCTGTTGTAGCGAAAGGATTGAAAGCTTTATAGGTATAGCGAAGCCGATAACGTGCCAGTGTTTCGACCTCGACACCCAGTAGCTAGAAGCTAGAACGTAGTGGAAGATGGACAGAATCGAGGGATTCTACCTTGTAAGGGCGTTTTCTTCTGTACACACAATCTTGTACGTGATCAATGACATACACTTCCCTGATGAACCTATCACCATCTCTATTGGACAACGATTATGCAAATCTTTACGTCACATAAACCAAACCAACATTTTCCATTACAAACATAAAGGTAAAAAGTGGATCCCTGTACATTTGATCGATCGTGATTGGTCAGAGATAGATGGGAACTAAAAGAAAGTATGATCAAGCCGAAAAGTGAAAAAGGGAAATGTAAAATCCAAATGTATGGACGGTAAATTGAATTCCTGTGCCCATCCTGTACCCATTGCAAAACATAAATATGAAATGCACTTGGGAATACACCGTTTCTGTATTTCGTTTGCGTCTTTCGCTTCAGCTATCATGATATGCAAGTTTTTGAGTTTTGCCAATTTGTAATTTTACTGTCTTCCATAGAAGTACGTGTTGAAGAGCGGGGGGGGGGGGGGGTAAATATATTCAGTATGTAATACAGCTACTGTTATTTTTACCCCAACAGCCGCGTATATGTCGCCGAGCCCATTTGATGGGGCGTCATACATAGTGATTGGGCCAAATCGTTGTTGTTTGATCTGCGGTTCTTGTAAAAAAAATGTAATTTTTTAAAGAAAAAAAGAGATTTAATATACCCTAAATGATGAAAGTCACAATAGCCGAGAACTGTAGCCTTGAACGACAGCTTAAGGCTTTCACAAATCTACATCCCTCGACGTCATAAATGGTTCGTCTCAATGGACAACGGCCACGGAGGAGCAATAGCGGCGAACACATGCTTCCCGTGTACAGTTGTGAACATTAACGTATAGAAATTGTCCTAATGTCTACTTCACTACCGAGTGAAGCGCCGTCATGCTCTGTGTGTCGTAAGTGATGCCTGGCGGAGATTTCACGTCACGGATGCTTTATTGGCCGATAATGACAAAAACAGTGCGACGGTGCTAACTGCGCATGTCAAGATTACTCCTCTTGATCTATTAGTCCCAAAGCACAATCCGCGATATTTTCTAACTTAAACTCACGTGACACTGGTAAACTGGAACTCACGTGATATTCTGTGACACAGATAAAGTTGGATTCACGTGATTTGTCAGTTAAATTCGCGTCAATGAGCGACATTGAAAAAGCAAAACTCACGTCACGTCACGTTGGACACCCACGCGTATAAACCAATTACCTCATTTGGTTATCAATATTATCAATCTTTACAACAACACGTTTATGTAGAATATGAAAACTGTAATTGAAATAGATTATGATCATTTATAAACGTGTTTACGAATTAATAGTAATTAACTAGCATTCACATAATGATTGCCAATTTGTCTAATTGACCCGAGTTCAACCCCTGGGTGATAACACTAGATCTGCATTCTTCACTATTTAGTTTCACTATTGACATCTAATTTTAAATAATCGTTCTTCACTTTTTGTAAAATATAAAATTTCAAAAACCTGACAAAGAAATGAAAATAAAACATTTTGGTTTGAAAGAAGACATAGCATGTCAACAATCCCGTTTTCTTTCTTTTTTTTGTGTCAACGAACCTTTCTAAAAAAAAAACGTCCCTTTCATCGACGTGGTACCGACTGGTGGGCTCCGATCGTTCACCGTATTCTTGCATCACTTAATACATACCCGAAGGTTCAGTCGATAAACCATTATTTTACAATTAATTGATATCGACAATGTTTTCATCACCGATACGCAGGCTGCTATTCGACTCGAAAATGAGCAGGTAGATCAATTCACACATGTTTGGACCGGAAATCATTCCATTTTTTATGATCTCTATGAAAATTAATGAATCACTTCATTCTATCAAAGACACTAGAAAATACTATTTTTAGTGCCTTTGATTCTATGTACAAGGTTATCCGATAACACATCAATGTGTATATTGTATTCATTTCTCTATTAGTTGTACGTAAATATGTTTTGAAGGGCGAAAGTGATAACAAAACTCATTATCATTACTGTCTCAATCGGTGAATGACAACGTATCATCTATATCTTATCTCGTCCACCTGAGTGTACACCCGAGTACTGTATTCTATTCAATCCATTTAACGACTTTAATGAAATCCTCTCGCAATTAGTGTCGCTTGCAGTGTGTGTGTTCACATGGTGTGATACTAAACATATAATAAACACCAATGACCATCGCATCGTGTTCATATGTTTTCCAAATTTACTATTGATGTTGAAATTGTGAGTATCTTTTCTACTTCCGCGCTCACATGTTCCAATGTCAAGGCGAAGATGAAACCCCAGAGATGTGTTAAGTACATATGCCGAGCTATTCACTATTATTATATTTTTGCCGAATCACGGATAACTTATAATTAAAAGGTAAAATTATAGTGATTTCGAAAATCGTAATGATATACATAAAACTTTGTTGTCAGGTATTGAAAATGAATGTGCGCCATACACTAAGATGATGAGAGATGTCGTCTACCTACCTGCCAATCTGTTCATACCCATCTTCATTCAATTATTGTCAAATTATCTGGTTGCTGCAAAAAAAAGAAACAAAAAAAGTATATTTTTAATAGACGATTTGTGTGTTTCTGTTTCATTCACGTTGTATTTTTGTCCGCCGTTACGGTCATCGGGATCTATTGTCTCGTCTGTAGACATTCATGCTATGATCTTTAAAATCATCCTCCACTTCAGCATGGCATATTTGATTACCACAAAAAATTGCATTCTCTTGATTCATTTGACTGTATGCACAAGACGCTGGCCGTGCGCGTCACGGACCAACTGTGAACGAGGCTACAAGCTGATGACGTGTTAGGAAAGAAGATCACGCGCACCAAATGTATTTGTTAAAACACCTATCACTTTGCAATTACGACAATGTTGAGTTAGAAACTCGTTATACAAATACATTGGAACAGAACGGGAGCAGTTGTACGTCTTTCACGTTTATTTTTCTATTGTGTACTTTTTATATGCGGTGAGATACCTTTAAACACCACAGAGTACAAGTAGTATGTTACGCATATTGTAGAAACTGGACGGCGGGTCATCTCATGCAACTGCAATGCATACTGGGAAAGCTTCAATATATTGAGGCGTATGCATGCTAGTGTTGGCGACTCCAACCTCATAGAAAACACAGAGATGCACGACGGGACGCCTAATGATATTAGCAGAAAGTTCCTTATCTTAATATTACAGTGAATTGCCACCTACAACATGATGGAGTGTATTCGACACCCACATGCGACGCGACCTTGTGAAATCACGCGTTATCTTCAATCTTTAGTATGAGGAAATTGTTTAATTTTGCACTTGGAATTTACAAAAATGTACTTGAGCATATTGATACTAATACAATAATAAGACGATAATGCAAACGTCCTTGTGTTTGTTTCGTTGGAAACGAGTTTAACTTGTATTAATATAGTACGATGCCTTATCACGACTGATTAATGACAGTAATTTGCATGGAAATTAATGGAAAACATTTATTTCATCCAGCGACGTGTTAAATAATATTAGTGGTTTATTCAGGCCCTAAACGTTTCTATGGCAAACACTAAACAGCCAATGATGTCTGAACAGCCAGGTTGACGTAAAGGTAATCAACGCGTACCAAATGATTTATGATTTGATGTAGGTGCGGTAGATGGCGATAACTATTTTGCGACTGGGAATTCGGTCTTAATTCTCGGTCTGCCTTATAGACCTGTTAAACTGACAATTTAGTATAGTTATGTTTCATACATTTTTTGATCAATATCATTTGTTTGTACTGAATAATTCCGAAAAATTTGATTTGTATTCTAAGCTTGTGGTTATGCCATCACGTAGTAATTTCGTCCGAGTACGTCACACACGTCTACCGCTCCTTCGTAGCCAGTCGTGCAATAATCACTAAAGTCGTCCCCTAGATAAATATCTATGAAAGCCACATCATTTATTTGAAACACTACAATATTCGGTTGCATTCGGTTGGAACATTTGTTGTATGCGCTAGATAGTGACAGTGCGCCGGAACGAGGCTAAAAGTTACTGACGTAATCAACATGATATCAAGCGCAACGGAAACCAGCAAATGTTCTATTACAACACACGCTAACAAATAGTTTTATATAGAGCAAGACAAGTATTTCTCAACTATATAAACCATCTTTGACGTTTTCATAGTCAGTATGTTAATAATTTAATCCCTACATAATTATCACTAGAGAGATACGTATAATCACGACACGTCCATGATACGTCACACAGACTTGAATCAGATGTGATAATATAAATTGCAAATAGCAAATATAGGACAGGCAATTGGCAATGTAAAAGACATTCAAATTGGTTATTAATAGACCATTTTCCGTTTACTCTAATACAAACAAATGTCACAGAGTAGTAGTGGCTTCGTCACATCGCGCGCCCGGGAACTCGACAAACGCTCAGGTATTTATTGGTATTTACACGTTTAATAATAAGCTATACACATTTGAAATAAGGCTATCTTAGCGCCCTATTACCCTCTTAAACATAGGAATTTCGACATTCAACTAATCAATCGATTTTTTTTTCAGGCATTACGCAAGTTTTCATGTAAACACATATAACATTTATTGTATACTAAACCACATATTTATTTATTTGTTCTTTCCGATTTTTATGAATAGTCACAATAAAGGCTTAGTCTGCTGAGCAGAAAATGTGAAATTTAGGATTATCAAAATTATTCATATTATCAAACTTTATCATTTTGGTTCTAGTAACTGATGAGACGCACCGGCATCAGAACTAAATGCGTCCAATACACCTGCCTTGCCCGATTAGTGTTCATTCTAAGATCTGTCGAATGTGCATATAACATATTACCGAATGTGCCGCATGACAATGATCTTTCCGTAATATGCACTCATTACTTTGGCTGAGTTTTATAGATATGATTGTTTTCATTACTTGCAACTTCCGAACTAGGACGATCGCTTCGATTTTGAGCAAAAAGGTTAATTTACGATTGCAATTACAATATTACAGAATATTCTGACATAACAAGCGTATGTAGAAAGAATCCTTCTACAGCAATTTTTCTCGTGATGATTTGAATTGTGAAAGCTGTTAATTTCTTCCGGCATCTATTGCTTAGAGAACATACGTCTGTTCTCTATTAAGTGCATCTAAGTAGGCGCATTTCCCACAACGCCAGTACCATGCATTTGATTGAGCATATAGTTTGTCTATTGTCTATTATCTTGAAATTAAAGGCCGTGTAACACTGTGTCATCTCACCATACTCGCCAATACATTATCTATTGTATTGTTATATACACGCACTATTTTATTCTATAGACAAGTACAGCAACAATAAGACAGTGTGGACTTTATGAACTCGCTGAAAGAAACTACGTAGCTACGTCTAGGTAGATTACAGACTGAGCTCACCTGACTGCATGGCAAACGTTTGTATTGATTAATAGGTACGATTATTGAAAACTTAAGAGATTCTTAAATGAACGGATAAGATGGTTAATCACCTAATTAGGGAACATAATATTGATTCCAACAGTCAATATGCACTTGACTGAACACGTACTCATATGCGGATAACGTCGCTATTGAGCCGCACGTTGCTATGCGTAACTATGCCTTGATGTTTAAGAGCCGTGTTTGCGTATAATTGTTGTTAGACATTACTTCCATGGACTCTAATGTGATTGTCGTGTTTGAGAAAAAAAAAAGTTAGTTTCATTTTATTTTTTTCCCAGATGCAGTGAATAAGTGAATTTATCATAATTTGTAACCTTTTTTTGCCATTTAGTAGTTTTCTGTCCCACAAAACGGCGTAGGAAGAAATTACGTAAAACGTATAAATACTGTCTGTGAGGTCACTTTTCAGAAAGCTTAAATATAGAGGTGTTTAGATATCATATTTTATTTAATTGATTTACCCCGTCCTTACCTCAATGATATATTGTAGTCAGAAGGGCACTTGGATAGTTAATTTTCAATATTCAATATGTTAATAGAATATTTTTTTAAATGTTTGTTTCTTTGCGCTAGGAACTGTATACACCGTACAAAATACAGATTCACTTTGGATGGCGAAATAAAACACATGTCGCCGAGTAAATGATTAACTAGTAGGGATCACACAATCAAGAATTCCTCCGATGTAATATCTTCAATTATCATTTCGTTTCGGTTGTAAGTTTGATCGATTAGTTCCGATGTCAAAACACGTGCTATATGACATACACTGACAAGGTGTGCCACATTATATAAACCTGTTTTTACTGAAATCAACAATATTAATTCTTGTTACAAGCTACCTTAGAAATGAGAAAAACATGACCACCACCAGTGAAATGAGTTACATATGACAGTTTTAACCGAAACTTACAAAAACTGACACACTCTCTGGAGAAGAAAAAACGTGACTTTAAATTATAGGAGATTTTTTTTCTTTCGATTGGGAATCATGATTAATTTATAAAAGTCAAACCAAAATCCGTAACAACTTTAATTTTTGTTAGTTTGGATAAGATAAGATGTGATGTGAAGGTAGGGTGTAAAATTAGCACCCAGCGCGTCTAACTACAACATCATGAAAGATATATTTTTTGTCCTGAAAACTGCCAACTGCATTATGTTGCTTACCTGTATGGGATCTTCGTAATCTGGTGATTCGCTGTCAGTGATGTCTACTTTGTCTTCTGGCGCAATGTATTCTGACGATACCAAACTGATGCCATGTGTATTTATACGCCTGTCACTGGACGAATTATGCATATGCAAATGTGGGAGCTGACGAAAGCAGTTAGATTAGCATATGAAATGAGGCGTGTTGTAAGACTCTATTCCGAAAAGCTCACGGTTGTTCATATTCGGCGATCTCCTGAACTCAAAATCTATGGTGTCGATATTAATCACTCTTGTGAAAAATCCAATCTTGGGTAGTGTAAAATGAAAAAAAAGCGACTTCGCTTCTGGGCAAATGTTCAAAAACATCACAATTCTACACATGTGACGTTTTATAAATTGTATCTTAGCAAACAGCATAAGTTCCCAATTTACTTTTATTCAGTGACAAGGAAAGTAAAACGTCAGAGATACGAATGATTTTATTTTTATGTCGATTTTACGCGTTAGAAAGGTGGAGCAATTCTGACCTGCAATACAAGTACGGGCCAACAAACACTCTTGATCACAAATAATAGCATAAATGTCGATCGAATATTAGTTGATTTAATTCAGATGTGCAAACAACTAGACATTGTAATAATATTAATATTAATTTTTCTACCAGTTTTGAAGACACAATTTTGATTGAATAAAATTACAACTATCGAGAAAGAAGCTAGGAAGAAGAAAAAATGTAAACCATTGTTTAACATATACATCACGGTGTTCGCTGTATGTGAGAAAGAGGCTAACATCGTACGTAATATCCAATGTTCGATGCATTAAAACGAGGCCATGCATCAATAACCACAAGCCGGGATACGTCATGATTCACCACGTTGTGATTTTTCCCAAGTACACTATTAGCTCTCGGTTCCCGGTAATTAGGACACATCTCCGACTTTCTATTCCAATAAGAATAATATGTTTACCATGGCACTGACTTAGTACTGGAGTTAGGGATATTAGATCATCGTCATCACCATCCACACACATGGTAAATTTAGTAAATTATTCACACGCTAAGCTTGTAAGAAGACACATGGGATTGTGATTCATAACTTTCACTTTTCCGTTCTCTCATCCTCTTTGTTATCTTCTCTCATTTATCGCATTGGTTGATTTCCCATTGGTTAAGATAGCACTGCGATATACATTGATGAACTCGCTATCTTACTACGAATTCATCGTACTGAAGATGTCGTGATACTTGTTCCAAAATGAGAAATCTATTATTCGCTTAATTAAAAATACATGGAATGAACTGACACGCCACTCATATTTTTGTGGGGTATTTCCAACGGAACTGTATATGGTAGATTGTCTTTTAAACGGCTTCTGTTGAAGTTTGAGAAATCAACACAATCACCAATAATAAAAAAAATGTCGACAATCTGAATATATACTCAAGTCTCGTACATTGAATGAGCTTTGCTAATCAGCTACGCGAACACAGGCAAACCTATAATGCACGACTCCATGTGGATCCTGTAGTTTGACACACACCACGTTGTTTCTCACATTTAGGTGTATATTCACAACAATCGTATTAATTCACTCACACAATATATTATTCTTCGCTACAAAATTTCAATGTTATCATTTTTCATTTCAATGGGAGCATCTGGCACTGAAGTGTATTTTGTATAATTAATGAGATGTATAAGTTACTATGTTTTGTTCTATTCAGATTCAGTGAAACCAAGGATTGTTATTAACGACGTAATATAGACTAGTTGGCACAAGTTATTATTATTCTGCTTAAATATTTGTCTCAAATATTTATCTTCTCAATGCTCGCAATTATATACCTTGAACTTCATCATTAATAAAATTACTAAAGCTTGTTTAGTCTCTGTAGATCATTAGAGACCCGGTTTCCATGGAAACATAGTAGAAATGATTGTGATATTGAACGCAGATTACGATGTCGCCAATTAGTCTTCGGCATCTAATGAATACGATTAATAAATGAGAATTCTGAGCAAAAATGAATAATAATAAAAAAAAACAAAAAACGAATTTTAAGTATGCATTTTCTAAGCAAATAGACCAAACAAATATACAGCCGAATGTCCTACACTCAAGATATATTCGACGCCGGTTTAACAACAGGTCAAAGCTAGCCTATTTAATGTCTTGGAATCTTGAAACAGACATTCTATTGCGCAGAATATTTGGGTTTGCGACCAACAGTCAAATTACACGGTAAAATGGCAACAAATACTATATTCCACAGAGTAAATTATTAATATATCTTCGACTATGTTGGTATGTTCGTTCACTTTCTACTATGTTCACCCGACCATGAAGTAAAGAAACTATTTTCGCTGAGTTTTTTGCAGCGACGTCATACAGTCCATTGCAGGTTCTACCCCGCTTTTACAATATTCACTAAGCATTGTTTATTTCAGCTGCTGTTACTTTCAAATAATACCTCAACACAATAAGTTTAGACAGTGTATAGTCGATATCAGGTGAACTAATTGCCATGCCTACAAGGCCTCACCTGCAACACATCTGCCCGCCATATGATTTATTCAGAGTGCAACGATCAATAATTGGGTAAATACTAAAAAACACTTCACACGCGGGTCAAACTGTAATGTTGCTGCCGAATAGCGTTGACATCGAGTCGAATTACGGAAATGCATGGAATCGCATTGGATTCGGTTTGATACGCTTCCAGAATCGACAACTATAATTGTCTGTTTTTATTTGCGCTTATACTCATTTCTTTTTTGGATTGAGTTGTTGATTCTGGGGAGGTTTTGTCGCATGGATTCTCTGTAGACACATCTCTATTATCGCATAATAACAACAGAATGTAGCAAATGAATGCATTGTCTTTAAGTGACTTTCAACGTGTCATACCAATTGGAAATTGTTTGTATTTTCGTATACACCATCATTGCTGATTCGTGGTTAGATTTGTAGCAATAGAACGAAATAAAAATTAAATATATATTGTACATAAATGTGAATAAACCACAATCACTCTATCGTACGCGGTTGATAATATCATTGTTATAATGCTCACTATTATTTACTATAACGGATGTGAAAGGTAGTATTTTGTTGTGCTGTGATTTAGTCTGACCTGATTACCGCCAATATAAACCCTAATCTATTGGAATCAACGTTTCCAGCAGTTCATTATTGAACAATTACTGGTAATGAGTGTTTAACATACCTTGTTTGACATATATTGTACCTGCTTTTCGATTTTATCTGCTATTGTACTCTCTAAATTATATTATTTTCACAGTGATCCGGCAACACTTGGATACCGAGACAGCGTTTGACGTTTTTATCTCGCTGATTCAATTGTGTAATATCTGATTACGCCAAACACGCAAATGTTCGCATGCTGTAAATCACACAACAACATAAAAACGTTATTAATTCCACGAGTCGGCAATTTCTAATTTAGATTACTGCGTTCTAACAGTCGAACTATGTCTTTCACTATCAATGAATCGCCGTAAGCCAGGATGGACAAGGACCGAGATTCGTTGTCCTTAAGAAAAACGTTATAGAATAACAAAGATAACATCGTATATGTTTGCACGCAGAATACGCTTCCAACCTATACATGTCAATTTAAAATAACCTCGTTACGATCTACATTGGAAAGTATCTCTTTATAATTCACTTAATCTGCATAGAGATTTCATTTGAAAACAGCATATCAACACTTGGGATAGATTAGGATGTCTGTAACGCAGGGTTAAGATTTTTTTATTTCTATGAAATCTCCATGGCAACCCTCCAGAATAAGTCACTCCATCAATACGTGATAGGAATATTCAAAAGAGTAAGTCACATGGGAAAGTAAATAGTTGTAATATACTGACTGTATCTAATCTCCAATATACATACTAGCATTCGCACCTCACAATAACATGTAGCAAGATTTCAATCTTCAATCCCCTCTGGAAATTTAACTCTAAGTGTCTGTATATTTGGAGGACATCTATTGGTTTTCTTAGTCCAAAAAGATCTGACTATTAAAAGCAAAAAATATTTTCGATGTGGATGAATCAATTTCATCTTGTCAAATTTACCTTGCTAGTCATTGTTCTTTGATAAACCACGGACTGATAGTGAATGGTTTCATCTGTCATGGTGGTTATAGCCTGAAATCATCCAAAATAATTTGTGTATTTTTAAATACAATTTTCATGAATAATTACTATTTGTCGTTTGTTTGTTTGTCGATGCTGTTTTTGTGATTTAGCAAGAGAAGGCAACACAATCCACTTTTCATAGTGTTCTAAGCGCGTCATTCGTGACCAATTGCGTGATAGCAGCTTATCTCTAAACCTTGACAAGCTATATTATGCTGTTTCCGGTCACTTGTATTTATTCAAATAGAACAAAGAGCAATGCGGACGGCGTTTACGATTTTCAATACGTGCGCCATAGGGGAAATGTACTTTGGGAAAAATCAAACGTCTTGTTATGTAATTTATCATTTGTCTTATAATTTGATGATATGAATTTAAAGTATTACGTAATCATTCACCAGTGTAAATTCTACTGAAAATAATGGAGGGTTGATAAATATTATTCTAGTATTTATAAGCTCTGGTTACTGACTGTAAAATGATTTCACTGGTTATTTGGGAATTCTATAACGTACTGCGATTGCAATACCACTTGGCGTCTCTGTAGCAGTCTCACGCTTAACTCACGCTTAGGTTACCAAATACATTGTTTTGAAATCGACTTAGGATATTTTATACAGTTCATCGAGTATGTTTAAATCGCTACCATAGTTGCAAAAATCATAGTGTTCTTCTTATTGAAAAATGTGACATCAGTTCAACACGTTTTCAATCAAGTTTGCAGTTTGCGGTTTGGAGTGTGCGCTATCAACAATGGCAATAACATAAACTAATTCAAGGACAATCATTATTTCTATTCCTTTTTTCTATTTCCGTGCTTCAAATTGAAATCCGGAAACAGACATACAACAGATAACTGTCCAACAAAAATTGAAAACGTCTAATAAACCTTTCACATCAACGTCGATC